TAAGGGCAAGATAAGACCTCCTTCTGTAGTTGGAGATACCATGCAGCCAGCTGCAAAGATGAAAAGCATTTTAAGAACCTCAAACAGAAGCTGCAACACACGTATAAAACACCCACCAGCAGAAAATAGAAGCCATCAGGTGAATACCAAAGAGCTGGACCAGACACTTGGGATGGTGTTTTCCTGTCAGCCTTCACAACAAGGTGCTGGTGTCCTGCTGGCTCGTCCTGACACAGATTTAATGTCCTTATCAATCTCTCAGGAAACTCAAAGGCCACTTCATAACAGCTCCATAGAAGAAAGGACAAGAAATACATTAGCTGTGAGCTACTGTAAAAAGTCTCTGCTATTCTCACTGCTTTCCTGAGAAGCCAAAAATGGCCACTTGCACAGCTGGCAGTTCAAAACAGCCACAGGGAAAGCAACACGAAAGTGCAAGGTGCCTTCAAAGCCTCTGCACACCACAAGCACCAGAGGTTTTTGTCTGAAGACCTGATGAAACACTTCAGCACAATCTCACCTGACTCCTTCAGCAGCTGCCAACATGCCACCTTTACCTGAAGTTTATATTCATAAAAGATTTTTCACAGAAAGTTTTACTGACTACAGGATGTTTTTGTTTGCTTTTGTGCATCTTTCCTCCTCAATACTTGCCTTTTCCTTTATGAAAAAAAAACCCCCAACACACACAGAGCAATACATAAATTGTACAGGCAGGACACAGAGGGAACTGAAACTGTACCTCAGGCAGGGAGATCCCTTTGCATGACAAACACAACGTGGCTGTGTGGGAGAAGAGAACAAACACTGCTGCTGCAGCCTGCACCTCAACAGCAGACAGAGCACAAAGCTGCCTGCACAAAGGTGAGCTCCTGGTAACCCATCTCCAACAGCCCTGACCTCCACTGTGCATTTCCCACTAAGAGTATCCCCAGGTTTTAATTTCCAATTTGTCTTTCCAGCCACGGAATTGCTACAGTCAACAAATCCAAAAAGGTAAATTTTTCTACCTTCAATTAACCGCATTAGCGGTGTTTATAACTACGTGATTGATAAATGCTCTACAGAAGCCGTAATTAATGTATTTTTTCCTTGGAACACACACCGAACCCCTTGGCGCTCAGACACTTAATGAAAAGCAATTTATCAACTTGCTTTGAACAGCTGAATCTGACTCCTTAATGCAGAGAAGTAACACACTTTCCTTTAAGCACCACCACTCCGAGAAAGGAATGCGCACCGCGACATTCCGAATGCCATCAGCCACGGCTGGGATTTTGATCGGGATGACAGCGACCAGAGCGCTCATCTCCCTGGGTATGATTCAGTCTGGCTTAACTGGGATCCTTTCCTCCCGGGATGCAGTTGAGCAGGAGATTTGTGCAGATGTGCTTTTGCAGGATGGGGGAGGATCGGGAGCGCCTCTTGAGGACACGGGACAAAGTTCCAAATTCTCCCATGCCTGGCACGCACGCGTCGGGAAGCGGCAGCAGCAGCTCCGAGTATTTCAGCACGGACATGTGTTTAGCTGCTCACAAAGCAGACAAAAATAAAGTGCTTACAGAGTGTTTGAATGCTAATTTCTCAAATTGAGCATTGCTTTGTATAGTTGACATATGCAAAAAAAAAAAAAAAGGGGGGGGGAAAAAGAAGCATTTAGGAGGAAAAGTCTGACATCACAGAATATTTTATGTTGGTATTAACCACTGGAGGGGATTAACCAACCTTCAAAAAAACCTAAAATCTAAACTCTCATTTCTGAGAGTATAGGCTAGAGATTTCCAGTATAGGAACTGGTCTGTACTCCATGTGGCAGACTGAACGTAAGGATTACATATTTCCATTGCACATGTAAGTCTGTTTCCCATTCCTGCAGGGTCCTGCTCTCTTCCATTTGCCTTTTGATGAAGATAAAAGCTAATGCAGATTGCAACTGCTGATACAGAGAAAGGCGCAAGACACGGCGAGCCTTTGGACTAAGGAAAAAAGGGACTCAGGTCCAGACTGCTCGAGCACGTCAAGAGATTGTCTTTGAAACCATAAAACTAGAAATGAAAGCACTGCGTTTTTATTTGATTTGATCAAAGAGACTAGAAAGGAGGGGGAGAAAAATCACATCTTATAGATGCAGGGTAGCATTTAACTACTTCACACACGATGTGGGACCAGCTGATCTCATACAGATATGAATCTGGAGAAAAAACAAAGAGGTAAAGTCACTCCAGCTCTGCAGACACTGCCTGCACAGATCATTGCTCCAGGCTCTGCAAAGAGCAACAGGAACCTGTTTCAAAGCCAGAAAGCCACTGGAAGCACATACCCAGCCCTCGCCACAGGCACAGGTTTCCAGTCTCCACTGAAGAGCAGAAGAGTGAGCTCCTGTCAAATCACAGAAAATAGGCTCTGAATGTAATGGCTACTTGAATAAATCACTGATGACTCCCTGTTCCAGTGCTCTGACTGTGGGATAGCAGCACACCGTGGCAATCTTCCCAAGGAGGGCTTTGGACTGCAAGCTGCAAAGGGACAAAACTGAAATTCTCGAAGGGAGCATCTGCTCCAGCACGTGCTTGGCACCAGGAGAACGAGGCTCTGCAGAAGTACAAATGGCACTACAGGTAGCAGCTCTGCAGATCCCAAATTGCAGCATGGAAAAAACAGATACCTATCGCTGCCACATTCCCTAAGAGAACAGATTTTAAGTATCTGCTCATGGAAATTTCTAACTGCAGAAGGCGAAGCATTTAGATTGCCTCTGGGCTGAAACCATCTAGGTCTTTGCTTTTCACTAAAAATTAAGCAGAAGTCATTTTAACGAGGCAGGCAGACAACAGCCTTGCACAGGAGATCAAAAAGCTCTCCAGATGTTTATTTTAAATGAAATTCAGAAGCTAGTATAAACCAGATTTTAAACACTGAATAATCCTTACCATAATTTGCATGAGAAAAACAGGCAAAAAGTTCCATCCTACTGCTCTGAAACTCTCCAGGAACACGCAGGGCTGGATTTTGTTCCTAGACTCTTCAGATAAGAATATGAAATATGAACAACTCCACATTGCAATCTGATGGCTGTTAAGAATGTTTTCCCCCCTGTGCTGTACACTTGGATGCTCAACACATACACACAGGGGCATCCCATGTGAAGGAAGTCTCTGACCTTCCTCACCAAGACTGTGTGAAATTATGGATTGAAAAGTGTCTAAAAATGTCAGTCCTAAATCTTGAACTTCTTGTCCTCCTCTTGCTACTTTCACTGAATGCCTCCTGATTGTGCAAAAGCAGAATATTCAGGCGTCAATCTAAGTAGTTTGGGTGTTACGCTGACAATGTCTCCGGAGAGGGGAAGAGAAGAGAGGACAGATTTCCAATAGCTCAGACACTTCCCTGGAAGCAAAGCTGCTACACAGCAAAGGAGATAAATAAAGAGGGAAAGTAACACACCAGAGAACTTTCACCAAGGTCATGTCAGGATGCTGAACGCTCCCCATCTGCAGGGGAAGATTTAGATGCCTGTTCCACCACACATTTCCACTCCCCTGTTGGCAACAACAGCCCTCATTAAACCAAACCGGTTCTAACCATGAAAGAAAGGACATTGGGAAGATGATATTAGCCAACAAATGCAAAAGGAAAACCCAACTGAGGCAGTTCTGGATGGGTGCCTTCTGCAGCAAAATACAGCACCATGGCACCTGCAGAGAGCCCCTGCACAACCTGGGAATGGGCAGCACAGGCTATCCCAGCCAAAAGGATGGACAGCTCTGCTCTGACCAATACAAACAGCTTCTGATTCTGCACCCATTCACCCACAGCAGAACAGGGATCCTATCAGGAACGGGAGCTTCTAGGACTTTGCTGCTGCACAGGGTGACCTACAGGTTGCAGTCCCTCTTTGCTTTGCAATCAGGGCTGTGGCAGAACTCTGCAGACAAACCCTACCATGAAACAACAGCCCTATCCCCCAAATATTGTATCAGTTACTGCTGCGCCCTTAACAACAAGAGTGTTTCTTGCCCGTTTCAGCAATCTGAAAGACACGCTGGGCAAAATTTCAAGCTATGACAAAGTGATCTTATCACTTCTGTGCTGTTCTCGCTACACAAGCCCCTGATTCAGCAGCACGTAATAAAATCTTCATTTGCATGAAAAGCACTCTCTGATCACAAAGTCTTCTGTTCCACAGCCCTCTTCCCATCCACAGCCTAGAGATGCAAGCACCACTGTCATTTTGTGACTGAGGTGGAATATTTTATTTATGTTTTATTTGGAGAAGCTCTCAATGTTTCAATGCCATCTTTTCCTAAAAAAACCCAGGATTTCTGAGTAACACAAAAGCTGCACACATCCCAACTATGCAAGTACTGCAAAGTTCACTCACTACGCTCACATCTGTATTTTTAATAACTGTGTTATGTGAAGGACATTTTGTATCAGCACAAGGTGACCATGAACAGTTGTAAAATGCCTTTTGTATTCAACAAGTCCAGCCTTTTCCAGTTTGCCTTTAGAATGCTTGGTGTCATGACACACAGCACTCACAGGATGTATTTCAAAGGAAAGGAAGGTGTAGCCATGCAAAGAACAATGCACTGCCCGCAACAAGATTAATCGCCGTCATGGGAAACCAATAAAAGCAAGTATCTTGTTATCTTTCTTTACAAAGGGACTGTTAAAGCTTAACTATATTAGGAAACTTTTTCCTTTGGACTAAACCGTGAGCCTAATGTATGTGGGCATCCCACATGCCAGCATATGCGATTAATTGGCTCTCGCCTGACGCCGCGGGAGAAAGTCCAATGTTCCAGAGGCAGCGTGGAGCTTCCACAAAACCAGCCTGTGCCCTCTCCTGACTACAGCTCTCTCTCACCAAGGCCAGCCCCAGCTCCCTGTCCCATGCAGGTGACACCACCTCCCATTTCCACCTGTTAACCATGTCCCACGTACGCACCCCAACATCACACCCGGCTCCGAGCGAACTCAGCCAAAAGCAGAAATACCTTTCATCACGTCAGCAGTGCGGTCCCCATTTAGAAACGCTTTCTTTCACGTTAAATCCAGTGCCAAAACGTGGTGGTGTGGGCTGTGCTGATCCAGAAACGGTGCTAAGGATGCTGCTGCCTCCTGTCTATCACCGCACGCCTCATCTCGCGCATGGCCAGGCAGTGACGGCCCTGCGACAACAGGCACTTTAAATTGGGCAGCTCAGCAGCACATGTACACTGAATTTTTGAACAAGCTATTCTAAGCTGCTTTGCTAGCAATTTCTGGCCTGTGCAGTTTGAAAGCGCACGGTTCTGGCCCTCACAAAGAGCAGACCTGTAAATGACATCTTGAGGATTAAGCTGATTGAGATGCAATTTGCCTAGCAACCATTCATTAAGCAGAGTTCAGAAACAGGCCAGCAATCTATTCCACCTCCTTATCTGAGCAGTAAACAGATAACAGTCTCTACTGTGTCCTCCATGCTCCAGTTCAGACACATTGTAAACAGATTTTTCAGAAGTTTAAACTCCTACAGTAAATCTCTGAGAACAATCCTGCTCTCCAAACACGAGTGATTTGGCTTCACCAAGTGTCTTACAAGCGAGAAACAGCTCTGGAAGGAGGGTAATGCAAATCAAATTGTGAATGCATTTGCAGTTCCTGTGCCTCCAATATTTTCTCACATCAAGCACTAAGAGCCCATCCCAGTCGTTAAAAAAAATTGTTTAAAAAAATCTTAATCACACAAGCATTTGGCATTGCTATTCTGATCACTGGAAAAAAACTCAATAAAAATCTTATTCCCTTCCTTCATCTTCTGCAAGGAATCGATTGACACTTCCAAAGTCTTTGATAAAGGCTCCCGTGCTTCAGAGAAGAAAACAAAAGTCACGTCCTCCCTCCCATTAAGCATTTTTTCCTCATAAAATAAGCAAGACAACGTAAACGTCATGAGTGGAAATCAAACCAGCTATTTCAGCTCGAAAATTTCAGCTGAAAAGATTAAGCAAAATCATGATTTTGCATAATTGTTTCCCTGCAAGAAACATCTGATAATATCCCATTCTGCTCCAAAATTAAACAACAAAGATTAGCACGGACGTATTTAAGACCATATACCTGAATGGTTTGCCTTTGGTGCACAGTTCTTCTGGGAAATCACTGTGACATACAGCATGCTATTACAATTAAATATGCAAGAAAGAAGAATTAAACTGACTATGAATAATTAATACCCTACAACACTACTTCATAAGGAAAAGTCTGGCTGAATATTCCCGCAGATGAGATATACCCAAACACGAGGCACAGCAGAGCTGGCAGCTTTACTTTTATGATGGGGTTTAAAACACCAAGTAACTTTATGGCTGCTGCTCAATTCTAGAGGAGGTGCCAGCCATCCAAGCCTTCTCCTGCTGGATTCCCACCCAGCTTCAGAAAAATGGGATAAATGCAACTGTTGCAATAGTTGCTCCACTGCTCATCTGTGTCCCAGAGGTAACAGGCTTCCCAAACACTTTCCATTAAAAGGTATAAAGCAATTATCTGACATCCCAGTAGGGAGAATAAAGCAAATATGATGCAACAATTACTTAGGTGATAAGATCAGGCTAAGGTTGTGAGAAAAAACAATTAAAAAAGGTTGCAAGAGCTAAGGAATGCAGCTTACTTTCCCAGAATCTCTCTTAAGGACAAAGATACCATCAGTTCCAAAAGTCGACCTTCCTGTTTCGAGTTTACTGTTCTGGAGGCTGTAGAACATCAACTGTAGCAAAGCTGAAAAGGGCAATTAAAAATATGCTTTTTCTTGCACAACATCACCCCTAAGTTGCACAGATTAGTATTTACTGAAGTCCTTGTAAAACTGATATCCAACTGTGGCATTTTCCATCAGGCTCCAGTCGGGTCAGCACAGTGGTAATTGGCACAAATATATTTGTTGCACATTTTTAGCTAGAAATGCCCCGTTCCTTTCTGTTTATCCATGCATGGCAAACCCAACACCCTTTTTGGAGAGAGAGATTTGAAATCCAACCAACACTTGTGATCACTGAGGTGGAACATGGCACTGCTACTGCAATGGCTGAAGGTGACAGCATCCCTCTGCTCCGAGCCCCATATTGCTCCAGGAGGATCTGGTTCCTGCAGGATCCAACACTCCAAAGCAAACATGAGCTGAGGGTCTTTCTGGGCACAGGCAAAGCCATGTTCGAAGTATACTGGCTTAATATTAATTTTCTATTAAAAATTAATAGGATTAAATGAAGCTTGCAAGCCTATGGGCACCAAGGCAGTTTTTTAGCGGATTTGCCTGGAGGAGCAGGATGTGAGGGATGGGCTGCAGAGTTCCTGCAGGATGCAGGATCCATGTGGCTCCTGGGGGGAACAGGGGGCTCTTCCCCACATCCCCTGAGGGACCCTGGGATCCATCAGTGCTGTGTCACCCTGTCCTCCTGCCCAGAAACTGGTGGGGAAGATGAAACCCTGATGAGATCCTGATGAAAACCGTGGTGTCTTCCCACCTGACATCCAGCCTCCAATCCTCACCCATGTGCCCCTTTTCCACTTCCCAGAATGAACTCCCTCGCCAACAAGAACCCTGCAAATACCCGGAGTTTACATAAGCTTAACCTTCAGTCCCTATTACTGTTAACGGAATAGGAAAAAATTAACCATGGTGCAAGTAAAAAGACTGTATCTGCATTTCTAATGATACAACAAAACACACCACGTGGCAGTATTTCCAAGCACCTTGCTGGGAATAAAATAGCCAATGGACTGAGGCTTCCATTTGGAGTGGTGGATGCAAGAGCAACCAGCACTGAGGCTGTCAGAGTTAAGGGATGAGGACACGAGAATTAAGGGAAGTGAAGTGACATGTGTGAATGATGATAATAAAAATGTTAATAATTAGGAAAACAGTCACCTTAAAAATTTAAAATTTCATGATCTCGCCTACTTTTTAATGGCTTAGCCTACTTTTTCCAACCTAATTTGCATGATCAAAATAGGCCTCCTGCCAGGAAGCATTAAAATGGCAGCCCCCCATCGAGACAAAACTCCCTTCACCATACGAGACTGAAGGACTAATAACTATTCCTAAAAACATTTTAAATCCATTAACGTTGTTTAGCAAACACTTATTTAGAATTAGTGCCGCTATCAGAATTTGATTGTGCTCTGCTAAAGTGTTTTATAAAAGCCTTTGAGGGAGGAGCAGGTCCCTCCCAAACACCTGTGCTGTCTCCAACCCTCTCCAAAAAGCTGAGCCCCCTCACGCTCCTGAACGGTTTCCATCCCAAAATCCCAAAGGATTCTCCAAGATCAACCAGACAATTCCCAACAGCTCTGCAGAGTGCCAGGCTGGGCAGTTGGAAGGACCCTCCAAGATGCTCGGAGCAGCCAGACCAGAGTGCACCATCCCCACCACCTTCTACACTCAGCAATTAATTCTATACACCAAAAAAACCCCAGGTTAGTACAAAATATAAACCTCAATATTACTGATGTACTGAAGATTTTGGATTATAGTAGAAATATATGGTGGTTTATACAAATTTGTCCGAGCTGTGTGTTATCCTTTCAGTGCCATCTGCACAAAACCAGTTTTATCTAAGCACTGGATACTAAAATAAATCATTTTCTCCATATCTATGATCTTGTTGGAGACAGACACCACAAACCTGAGAGCTGGCGAGTGCAGGCTTGTCTAGTCACAAATAAAATTACATCCACATCAATATGATTTCTTTTTAATAAAAAAATAAGGCAAACCAGGCTCTTCATATCAAAACAGACTCAGCCAGAATCCTCCATGCCTACAGAAGACATCATGTACAGTGTGAAATTGTCAGAATAAAACCTGGATTGGCACTGTCATTTCCCCTAATAGGAAATACCACTACCAAGAGACACATTTTAATTGCCACACGTAATGAAAAGTACCTGCTCATTCTCCACTTGCTGTATTTACTGGTATTTAAATTCAGGACTACAAGTCTTGGCAGGATATTTTCTGGTTTCTTTAGTTTTTTGGCGTGTCCATGCCCCAGCAGATTTTTAAGAGTGAATTTGGCTCTCCAGTGCAACACAAATGACCCATCTCTGTGTGTGCATGAACGAGGTTCTTGGGCTGCACTTCTCAAAGCATCCCTTGTGAGCAGGGACCTTGCAGTAATTAGCACAATCTGATACTGGAAACTCAGCTAATTCTAGCATCAATCCCTCAGGACAGCACAGCCCATGATTTGAGAAACGTTCATCCCAAAAGACCCTTTGTTTCTACCTGACAAAGTCACCAAAGGCTGGTAAATAAATTATATTTTCCAAAAGCTTTGCAAATTCCTTTCCCCGGGCTAGATACATTCTCCAACCAGCAGCCACAGTTAAAGGTTTATACAGGATCACTGAAAGCACCAAACCCGTTTTATTTTCTTACACAGAGCAACTTCTAACATCTGCAGTCACTGCTGTGAGATTGCAAAGGATTTTATTTGCCAAGTCAAGCTGTCAAAAGGACAGATTATAAAAAATAAACACTAACCATTTTTAGATCTAACTTTCCCCCACAGACTGTGTTTTATGCCCTTTCACTGGAAATGTTACATCAGAATAAAATCAGATTTAATTGGCTCTTAAATAACTGAACAGCCACTTTAATTTTATTTCAATAGCAGTAATTCATAAATCAAGCAGGTGAAATCTTAGCACGGAGTGACAAGTAAATAGAGCAGAACACAGTAAAGGAGAGCACAAACACCACATGGTGAAAGGTGATTTTTCTCAAACTTCACACATCACCATTTTATGGACATCACAAAGGTACCACCACATAAATACTTGGATCTCAAACCTGTCAGTTCATCAGCAGTAACTGCTTAACAAAGACCAGTGGATGATGATCTTTGCCCAATTGGAACTGCTAGGGGAATGGCTGGGATTTTAACCATGGATGCAATTTCCCTCATGCACACTAGATGGAAGTATGGAAAAATCTTAATTCTTTCCTGTCTCAGCTTAAATTCAAGTGTTGAGACGTCATGATGGACTGTCACATTCTGAGAAGAATTTTTATCATCAGCAACTTCACTCATTGATAAACTCTAAGTAAAAATATGCCCTGAAATATTAAAACTAGGCAGTGTTGGAAATTAATAGTAAACCTAAGATAATATATACCAGAAATACTAAATTTATTATTCAAGCTAATTCCTAAAGTACACATATTCAGCTTCTAGAGTATCTGAATAATAATCACTAATGAAATCCTTCAGAGACACTGAAGTTACATTTTTTAAACCTCCAGGTTATTATAAGAAACACCACCTTGTCACTGAATAGAAACAGGGAATAGAAAAAGTATAAAAGGATTAATAAATGCTGCTGCAGTTTTGACTGGAAAAAAACCCCAAAAGATTTGTAGAATACAGTGGGAGAGGTACAGGGAAATAGAGAACCTGAAGTCTTACAGAACAACCAGATCAGAGAGCAGCAAACCTGAATGGGATTAAATTACACACAAATCTCCTGGAAACGATCTTAAAAGTGACTTGTTCCAAAACAATCCATTTCTAAATTTAAACACTAAAGAGTTCACAGACACAAAAACTAAATCAGGCAATGGTGTGACCAGGAAAAGGTGCTGGAAGAGCTGTTTTCCCACCCTTACTCTGGCTTTTTCATATATTGATTTTCCTCCCCGCTCATTCACAAATGCTCAGCAGAGCTGTGAACAATTTAAAGTCAAAGGATGCACAAATTACCAGTTCCAGGAACACACCACCCATTCGAGGCAAAAGCTGAGGGCTTTGCTGCAGCTGAAGAAAATAAAAACCAACCCAGAATCAGAACACACTGATGAGCAGGAAGAGAAAGGCGAGCAAATCCCTAATTTTCCCTGTCCACAACAAAGCCAAAGCACATGACATTCCTTCAGCTTAAAAGACAACAAATTAAGAAAACCAGTGCCAGAAGGATGAAGGAAGAACAATGCTGCATAAAAGAATATAAAGTAGGCATGAAGAGCTCCCCTTTCCAGATGTTAAGAAGATGCTGTTTTTCATTCCAGGTTTAAAAAAAGATAAGCAGAGGAGGAAGTTTACTTTGGAGAGTGGGAGCATCTGCATAATTTTTTGAAAAAGGTTCATACAAAGATTTCCTTCCAACAGAATTTAAACTATATCTATACATACATACATAGATATATGTGGTATTGGCTCAAGACAATCACCTTAAAATATTTTTCAAAGTGTTTTCCATGCAGCAACTGCCTAGGGAGAGGAACAAAATGAGTGGCAAGGGACAGCCACAGGAAAGGGCAGGACTGTGAGACACACATCCTCCAACATGCACACTCCAAGTTTAACAACATGAAGGCAAGGAGAGGGACAGCAGGATACAGCAAAGGATATGCTGGGGCCAGGAAATGAGAAAAGAATCCACAGCACTCAACGCTGACTTATGGGATATTTTACCAACAAAAACAGAATACACATAGGAGTATTTATTATTTTTTTTTTTTGAATGTGCGGCTCCCATCTTAGCCAGGCCAGGGAGACTGTCCCAGTACGAGGAGGGAAATTACAGTGAACAACTAGATGTCAGATCCACTCCGAAGAGCAGAGCACAGCATTTCACCTATTTCCACTTGCTCTCGCGTGGTTCCCAAATTAGAAACAATCAGAATCCTGCTGGAAACAATATATGGCACCTTAATTGGGTTGGCTGCACTACAGACGTCAGCAATGTATCACTTAGTAGATCATTTTCTGACTGCTTTTTTTTTTCCTTTAATACTAAAAATAGCTGCACTTTCATGGTTCACCTTTTCTACACCACCTTTACTACAGACACCATAAGAAATTAAATGTTAGCACTCATTGCCCACCGAAGATGTGACAGGACCCACACCTGCTGCAGGCAGGATCTGCCACCTAATTCAGCAGAATTGTACTTCAAGGTTTGTCTCAGACGTGTTGCATTTACAGAGAACCCGTTTTCTAACACATTTCCCCCAGTACAACTATCAATGCATCTATTCAAAAGCCTGGAGCAGTTCAGTTATCTCTAAATACATCAACAACTCAGTGCTCCACGCATTCCAAGCACTCCAGAACCCCTTCATGGGACTTGGGAATTCACATGAAAAATCTTTCCCAGTTTTCATCCCCCGGTGTTACACCCCCACTATTCCCTACCAAATCCACGCTGCAGCCAAACCACATTCCTGAGAAATTATTCCAAGAACGAAATATCACCATTTTCCTCATAAACCCTGGAAACTTGGAGTAATATTCACACATAGCATAAACAAGTTAAGCAATGAGAATACATAAACAAAGCATAATTCTTAAGCACAATGGGGGAATAATTACAGCAACAAGAGAACAAATACAAAATGAGTGGAGAGGCATGGAGAGATACCCAGACAGAATGTGCTGAAATAAGGAAAAAGGACCTATAGGATCTATGAGGTTGGATCAGCCATGAGCTACAGCTGCTGGTTTTTTAAGTGTTCATTTAAATCAAATTACTAAAAACACAGAAACCAGGAGCAGATGAACTCAGAGGTCTTTGTCAGCTCCAGGTGCAGGCCAAGCTATGCCCTGCTTGGACAGTAAAATCAGCTTTTGAAAGATTACAACCCCTTGGAAAAATATCTTTGGGTAAAGTTCAGAACAACTTTCCTGGATGTCAGCCAGCAGAATGCCTGCTCAGGAGCTCTGTTCCTCTATCAGTATTTGGAAAGCTTTTTTCTCTTTTTTTCTAAAGCAGAAAGATTAATAATGTGACAAACTCATTCTCACATTCACAGTCAAAGTAACGATCTGCAATTAAAAGAAAAAATTGCTACAAGATCTGTGTGGTAAAGATTTTAACACGAGTCACAAAATACAATGGGAAAATGGCAATGTGGCATACCACACAAGGAATAAAAAATTCAATTACTCACTTCACTTCCTAGTTTGAGAACATTTTAAATTGTTTAAACATTTCAAATGCTGAAAATTGAAAAGGGTGGGGTGATGGACTCATTACAGATGCAGAAAACTGTGAAACCTTTACTCATCCTCAGGGGCATCTTACCCCAAAAAAAGCCTCTGAAGAGTCAGCAGGCTCTGGATAGAGTGTACTACTACACAACAGTGACCTGTTACTCACCTGCTGGGAGTAGCATTTCAGTGAACTACATGTTCTTAAAGCAATTATTTAAAAGTGCTGATCATCTGTTAAATAACTCAAACAAATCAGGCTGTGGCTACGTTCTTGGTGGTGTATTTAGCAACTCCATAAATCCTGGAATCCTGCAAGTCACTTCATCTCTCATTTCCTAAATCTGTGACTCTCCTCACTGTTACCTCACTGAAGATGAGGGAGCCAGGAATATATAGGATATGTAATGTTTTGGTGATGGAGGTTTTTGGGGTGAGGCCAGCCAGGGTAAAACTTTCTACTTCCCCCTCTTCCCCTCTCCGTGTGCTGGCCAGTAACAAGTCATGGTCAAAAACGAAGAAGAGTAAAAATGAATGGACAAACCGATGTGAAAAAGTAAAATATCGCACTGGAAATGCTGATAAAAGTTTCTATCCCACATCCAGCTATTTCAGCAAGTGCAGCAGAGGACACAAGCTGAGGCTCCAGCACGTTGTCTGAGCTTCTGGGAAACAGAGATACTTCAGTCCTTGACAAAAATCCTTACTTCTCTTGATCTGGTAACAGTTCCCAGAAGCAAGCACAGATATAAAAGCTTATCTATCAGAGGACAACTTGAAACAAATACAAATAAGGCTTAAACGAAGGCAAATATCCAAGCTGCAGAGAACACAACGCTTCCTTAATTTCACATTTGGAGAAAAAACAATACTATGTGGACATTCTCCAACATATTTTTAATGTTATTAACAGAAATAGCACCCCAGGCTGTGCTCAAGCTGAAAAAGTGTGAAACTCTTTGCAATGTGAAGTGAAATAGGGATCAAAAATACCATCTTATTAAATGGCATTTATTTGGTGCTAAGTGAATTATTTATTCAATTGAGAAGTTCACAAAATGACAGGGGGGTAAATGCAAGCGAGGTCACTACTTCATGTCAGTATCAAAGCTGATCCTTAACAGAATTTAAGCACCTGCCTTTTCTTTTATCTCAGCACAAAATGAGATTTCTTTCTTTTTTTTTTACACTTCAAAAGCCATGTAACACAACAGAATATATGCCAAGCATGCAAAAACAGAGCATGCCAGCATCTTTCAGCAATCAGCTTTCCCTTGTCATCCATTATGTCAGATTTATCTATTTTTGCTTAATTCTTGCTCCAGCAATATGCATCCTTCCTCTCTCCAGACTATCAGGCTGGTTAGGCTGGAATTCAATACAGCTTCTTAAAATAGTTGAGAAATATTGAAAATATTTGAAGCGGTGCCTGTGAATTACAGCCAATTCATCAACTCCTCTTCCAGCTCCTGCTTGACCTGTGCTCCCCCCAGACAAGGGGCAATTCTCATTTCTTCACCTCAGAAATTCTACCCAGTGTAAATATCATTTGGAAAATAAATAGCCTCTCTTCTATGGAAGCATTTCTCCAAGAAAGCTTAGATTCTGTGTTAATTGCAAACCTTACCCTCTGACTCTTACTTGCTTTCGATTCAAACATTCCTCTGCTGAAAATTAATAGTGAATGCATTTGCTTTCAAGTTCGCTTTCTGTTGTCACAGCTTTTCCTCTCCAAGTTTACAGACCCTCTGGACTGGCTTTACAGGACTCCAGACCCACCTAAAAGCTCTCCCTGAATCCTTCACTCTGCTGCTGGCTGCAAAACTCTGCTCTCTCCACCTCTAACACCTGTAAGACCCTTGAACATCATCTTTCCCCACTGCTTTATGCACCCACTTAAATGAACACACTCTAACTGAAGCTCAAATTCTTCAAAAATAAAGAGGCTGAAAGGAAAATGCAACTCTCATCACTCTATTCCCTCACTGCCTATGGAGCACAGAGCACGGAATTTTCTCAGCTGGCTGCTGAATCAGACGAAGTTTCCACAGTGCACACACACACACACACACACACACCATCACAAAGCCCCAACACGTCCAGGAGGATTTATTCCATCACAAAGTCACCACCGTTGCTCCAGCACAAATGACATCACTTAGGAACCCAACCTCATCTCCTGAGAGCTCTCAGCTCCCTCCTCTCCCGCAGCAACCGGAGCAACAAAGAACCGGGCTTGTGCAATAAAGAGGAAGAAAGTATTGCTGCAAAAAGTTTTCCAGAAAAACTTGTATTTTCTTGAGAATGTGACTACAGAAAAATTAAGGACTGTAGTAAGAAGCGAGTAGAAGAAATTGTGGTTGAACTGATAAAGCTGCATCTGTGATTTATCCTAAACTTGTACCTAGTGCTACCAAGGGAGAGTGAGAGATGTGCGAGCCCTCGCAGGTGTTGGTCGGGGAGGTTCACACGCTGCAGAACCAAAACCATCTCAGCACTTCGCTCCACGAGTGGACTGAGAACTGGAGTCCAGCTCTGCAGTTTTCTTCTTCTTCTTGAAAATGGGTTAGTAGGGAATAAAAGCGACGGATGATTTATTGACGATACCTGTTCCCTGCCCACGGGAAAGATGGGCTTTGAGGTCCCTTCCAGCCCAAACCAGCCAGCGAGTCTCTTGCAAAAAGACACTTTTCTTGGGAAAGAATCACACAAAGGATGTGCTCGCACTGCGACCGCAATCCCCCCTTCCCCCTGACGGCACTTCTGTCGCGATGGCTGACGCACTATCGCGATCCCGGGCCGTGTGCGCGGTACCCAGGGACAGGTAACGAGGGCGCCGGGGCTACCGGGGGGCCTGGGAGCTCCGCGCTGAGCGGGGGAGACCCCGGGCAGGCGAGGTGGGAGCGAGTGTCGCGACACGCGGCGGGTGTCGCGACACAGGGGGCGGGTCGCCACACCGGTGATGCCTCAGCGGGCGGGGGGAGGGGACACCCGGGAAGGACAATGGTGGTGGTGGGGGGGGTATGAACCGCGGCGGTCCCGCCGCGCCGTGAGGGTGAGTAGGAAGATGATGATGAGGAGGAGGAGGAGGGGACGGTGGGGCCGTGCCCTCGCTCCCGCCGTGTGCCGCACTTACTCTCGGTGCCCCTGCCCGGGCCTCATGGCGCCGCCGCCGCTGTGCCCGCCCGGCCCCGCCGCCGCCGCCGCCGCCCGCCCCGGCCGTGCTGGCTGCGCAGCCGCCCCCGCGCACGCGCGGCCCGCGCGCCGCCCGCCCCGCCCCGCGCACGCGCGGCCCCGCGGACACGGGAGAGAGGGAGGGGAGGGGGGGAATGGGGGGGGCAGCGCCGCGCCGCCCCCTGCCGGTAACTGCGGGTACTGCAGAGAACAGCGGGGATGGGGGGACACGGGGGGACATTGGGGGGGACAGGGCGGGTATGCACTGGGGGACGTTGGGGGGCATGGGAGGACATTGGGGGGGATGCGGCGGGTACACACTGGGGGACATTATGGGGGACATTGAGGGGAATGAGGAGGGGACACGGCGGGTACACGCAGGGGGACATGGGGGACACCGGGAGGCATGTGGGGGGGATATGAGGAAGGGACATGGCAGGTACATAGAGAGGACATGGAGTCGTGGCAGAGGCACAGGGAGGACATGAAGGAACACGGGGGTGGACAGGGGGATGCAGGTGGGCCAGGAAGGGGACACAGAAGGGGCTCTGGCACAGCCCCGGTGCTGGCCACACGGAGATCTCGACAGACACCCCCCACACACACACACCTGGGGTCAGTCCTTTGTGAAGTTTTTTCCACAGGGAAGTGATGATTTGCACCCCTACGATGGGCTTGGAATGGGATAATCAACCTAATTCTCCAAGCTTGTTAAGGAGCAGGTCAGGAAGGTGAGACTTCACCCCTTCCCATGCCAAGAGCATTTCCACTGCCCCCCAGGAGTGGCTGCTGCTCTGGGCATTCGGCTCCATCCCTGGAAGCAGCCTGGGATAGAGCTCTGGGCCAGCACAGGGTGACCCTGACCCCTCCCATGACACGGCCATGCAGAAGGGACAGCTTTCCCTTGTAGCCCATCCCATGATGGGGTACCACACCTTGTACTTCCAACCCTGCTTACCCAGCTTCTCCCCCCACACAGTGCAACCTTCAGAAGTCACAGCTCGAGAAAAGGGATCTAAGCTCAGCTGGGAAGGAGGAATGACATGAAAGTGCCCTGGTTTGAGCTGGAATAAAACTGAGGGAAGGTGGTGGCTGTGAGGTCAGGCTGCCAGGGAAGAATAAAGGAGAGAACAATCACTTATGCTGGGACCTCATTTTATTGCAAGGGAAATACAAAAGTTGGACAGCAGCATTCAAGGGACGACAGCCCCTCCTTCTCCAGGAAAACAAGGAAGGACACTCCATGGAGGTTTCCCAACCCAGTTTTCAGTCGATCTCACATTCCAGATAGAATTCTTCAGCAGAAGGGTAAAACATCTCTTTCACAGTGCACCAGGGACAAGGAGCTGAGCAGATTTGGGTTCCAGACCCTTCCCAATCTCTTCACTGCTGGGGTTTTCTTCCCTCAGGGATGTTAATTTAGGACTGCACATGGAGATCTACCTGGATTTCTGGCAGGAAGGTACCCAGTGCTCCAAACGCCTGACAAAAGATACAAAACAAGCCCCAAACACCAGGTCCAGGCACACACATGTGGTGCCAGGCTCCACCATGCCATGGCCCCTGCTCCTCCAGCCTGTTCCAGTGCTCTCTGTTACAGCTGAGCTGCAGAATCTGCTGCTCTTCCCACTTTGAGGTTTTCTTTAGCTGCAACAGCTTCTGTGTTTATATCTGTGACCCTGGTGCAGAGTGAGGACTTGGAAGTAACTGATCCAATAAACTACTCAAATTCCTAAAAAGTAAGTGGGTCCGTGCTGGTTTTGCATGACAGACATGACAGGCAAGCCAGTCAGGCATTACAGATGTTCCAGCTGCCAGCAAACCCCTAAAACTGACTCCCTACACCCACTAACCTCAACAGGGCAGGGAGAAAAGTCAACATGAGACCATCAGGTGGGCTGGGGTGGCCTCATCCTCCTGTGTGACCATGATTCAGCCTTCAGAAGAGATTACACACATGTGCTTCACAATAATCCTTCACTGTGACCCTTTGCTTGCTATAAGGCAGGAGATGCTCCTGAACTTCCACGTACAAACACCTGGGAGCAAGGACATGAGATACAGCCCAAAAGAAGTGGGTGGCAGCTCTGGAATTGCAGTACCAGAATCATGGGTGCAGCTGATTCTCCAGTGTCTGTCCTGAGTTCAGATTCCATAGAAGGTCTGGAGATTTTATTTCAGTTTGGGCGGTTCCCCCAAAGAATAATGTATTCCACTTCAGCTTGCTGTAGTGATTCCATCATCCTCTATTTCTGAATTGAATAAAGGTGCCAAGATACCCCCAGGATTGGTTTTTCCACATGATCAGAGAGTTCAAGGGCTGTTAAAATACACCAAGTGCTCAACCCTTCACCTCCACCTTGAGCTTCAGGCGGACGTCACACAGGAAAGCATTCATCAGGTCCTGGCCAGCTTCCCGAGCAATCCTGCTGATGACCTTTCCTCCTCTTCCAATCAGCATCCTCTGTGTTAAAATCCAGAGAGAACATCAGCAAACTCACCTTTATATTTCCCAGGAGAACAGCGCAGCCACAGAAGCAATGAGGAAAATTCCAACATTAAATAATGAGGCAACTTTGGGAAGGTTTGAGTTGCTACTGAACAGCCAGTATTGGGTACCTGGCTCTTCCCAAAAAAGAGAGAGAGGGGATCACAGCAAGGATGCACGTGTTGGACTTGGGGAACTTCCCTTCACCCTCTCCAGCATCCCATCTTTCTTCCCTCACTCACTTTATGGGACTCCCTTGGCACCAGGAGGCTCTGCACGATGAGCAGCTCCCCACATTCTCCTTCCTCCCATATCTCTGTCACCTGCAACAGCAAGCAAGCACTCAGCAATCCTGGAAAACCGTCAGGAACCCCCAACACCACTCCCCTAGAGACACCAGCACACAAGGGGGACCCCTTCACACACACAAAGGGTCGTAGAGCACACCTGAGGTGCAAGTACAGAGTCACCCCACAGCACCTGGCAGATCCCAGAGATCCAAACCAAGGGATTGTCATCACACAGCCTGAAATCCCCAATAAAAGCTTGTGGTGAAGTCTGCCTGTGCACATTTCCCACCTGAGTCACTCCATAAGGCACTTCCAGGGGCAGGTACTCCAGGATCTTCTCCCTGATGATATTATCACAAATCTCTTGAGGTGACTGGTTGGTCAGGACATCGCTGTGGAATTCCCAAGGGCCTGGCTTGGCTTGCATCAGGAGGTACCTCTGTGGGCACAACACAATGTCCCACCAGCTGCCACGAGTCACCCACACAGTGCCAACACCCCTGTGCTCCTCCTGCAGAGAGGGCACTGCTGCTGGCCTGGCATCAGGGCACTGGTTTGGTATTTTGGGCAGTGAAAGGAGACAGGGAAGCTCTGGAATCCCTCCCTAGGGCTGTGTTTATCAATTACAAAAGCCCACAGAACCTCTGGAGCTGAGAGACAGCAGTGGGTGGATTCATTGTTGTGAACAAGCTGCTGTTGGGAGAGCCCCAGGTAAGAGTTTTGTACAGAAAACTCTGGAGATGCAGCAAGGATACATCCCATGTTGACACGTGACACTTTCCCCCCATCCCAGGCCAGGAACAGAAGCTGAGGCTCTGTATGAAGTGCTGGGGTCCCACCCCAGTCTCCAGGTGTGACAAGTTCAGACTGGAGTTACCTTGAGTGTATCCACCTCCTCCCCACGGAGAGCTGCCAGCATGAAAATCTCCTGGAAGTGTGGCCAGCCTTTTGTATCTTTTAGATCCTCAGGTCCATGGTGTTTTGGCCCTTGGGCTTCCCCTGGGTCAGCACCCCCAACATCACTGCTCTTGTCCAAATCAGAGCCTTCCTGGGCCTGATTCCTTTCCTGCCCAAAGGGAGACCCTGGGACCTTGCTTTCAGGTGAAGCCCGAGTGATATGAAGGGGAGACTTTGCTGAAGAACTGGAATCCTGTTGAAGTGCAGATTTCACTTTCAGTTTCTTTCCATTTACAATTCCCTCTGTCAGGTCAGTTGCTATTTCCAGCAGGAGAAACTTCTTCTTTAGTATATCCACCTGAAGTCAGAGAGAGAGAGGTGTCAGGATTTATCCTAAGTGAAGTGGGCAGCTGGGCCCCGGATCTGAAGGAACCAGAGGAAACCACCCAGGGAAGCAGCTGCTGCAGGACAGGACAGTTTTGTGACCAGAGGCCAAACCAGAGTGTGTCAGCAGTGCCAGCACAGTCTGTACAAACACTGAGAATCTGTCAGCTCTGCTGAGATCCTCCCTGGCTACCCTGGCTCCTCTTCCCAGATGGATTTAAACCCCACACAGCAGCACAACTTCAGGGGTGCTTGTGCATGCAACGGGTACACACACAACATCCCTCAATATTTCGGAGCAGAGTGGGAAACCTCTGTCCTTTAACACACCAGAGACCCCAAAATCCTGTCCTTTAACACACCTGGGACCCCAAAACCCATCACTGCTGATGCACGGTGGTGCTTGAAGAAGGCAGGAAGAAGAAGCAGGATTTACCTTGTTCAGGACCAGGACACTGGGGATGTGGGGGAACTGAGACAGGCACTTGAGCACCTCCTTGCTCAGAGAGTTCCGTGTCCAGTGATCTGACACGTCCACCAGAACCAGGACTGCCAGGAAAGAGGGAGGGAAACAGGATGAATCCACATTTTCCAGAATGTTCACTTGCAGCTTTAGAGTCTATGGTCACTCCCCTCCTTAGGAGGGGCACAAAAAGAATTTTATTGACAAAACACTAAAATGTAGCTTACCCGTGCCACCTAATGACATCACACATGCTAAATCTTAACATCCAAGCCCAATTATTAACCCAAAGTGTCTCCCCTTGGCACCAGCCAGTTCTTATCCCCTTCTCAGCTAAATATTCCAGATCTTTTCTCTGCCCTTCCTTCCTTGTTCACATTCCCTAGGTTGCCTGTGCTGCCAGCAAGTACCCAGATACCACAGCTGGGAACTTGTGTGGCAGAAAAGGATTTGGTTTGATCCAAAAAGAGTTGAAAACCCACCTAAATCTGCATGTTTCATGCTGTCCCACGGGTCTGTCAGCATGGCTTCATCTAAATTATGCCTGAAAGACACATACAAGTAAGTAAACCAGACACACTTCATTACACTTGTGTTCCTCCCCCTCAAAGTATAAGGAAACCAGTGTTCTCCCTCATTCCAGCTGCCACAAAGCTGCTTTAGGGGTTGTGTCACCCCTTGTCATGTGCAGGTGCACAGAACCACACACAAAAAGGCTCAAGGGACATCACAGGCTCTGTGTGCTACTAAAATTGCAACGAAAAAAATTATTGGAGACCAAAATAAGGCTAAAAATATGCATTAGTCTCATTCCTGTTTTACAGGCTTTGAACAGTGAAAATCACATTCTTATTTTATCAACTCTTGACAAGCAGCACAAACCCCTCTCCCCACATCACTGGTGGTACCTTTTGGCTTTTAAGGGATTAGTGAGGCCAGGTGTGTCCAGAATGATCTACAAAAAGGAAAAACAAACGTTTCAAATCTGCCAACAGTGAGAGGTCAGGGGTAAACCCGACCTTTGTGCAATGAGAAGTGATGCCACGGGATACAGATGAGCAAATCCTGCCCTTTGTCTTCAGGACTCACCAGCTGCGTGTCCTGGTGTGTGATGACACCCCGGGCTTTGCAGCGGGTGGTGTGGACCTTCTTGGAGACTGGGAAAACCTGCAGAAAATTAATTAAGCACGTCACACAGCCAGAACATGCCAAAAACCCAAAGTAACAGCCTGAGATTCACCCCAGCTTCACCTTCCTGCCCAGGAGCTGGTTGGAGAGCGTGGATTTCCCGGCGTTGGGAGCGCCGATGATGGCGATTCTCAGCACCTTGGGGTTCTGGGGCTGGTCGGGCCGATTCTCCAGAAGGCGCTTCTGCTCCTCTGCCAGGGAAAGGAGGAGGTTGGATGCTGCCAAACCCGCCGCGGGTCAGGATCGCGCTGGGGAGGGGCGGCAGCCGGCACCACTCACCTTTGTCGGTGGCCACGGGCGGCGGGTGCTGGCCCAGAGTGGCAGGCGGGGCCTCGGCGGGGATGCCCAGGAGGCTGCCCAGAGCCGAGCTGCTCCCGCTCCAGCGGCTGGGAACACCCAGAATCCTGCCCAGTGCCGAGCTGCTCCCGCTCCAGCGGCTCCCCGGGAGGCGAGCTGGAAGAAAACACCGAATATACCAAGAACGTACCTAAACCACACCAAGACTGCGTTCTCCCCCACCTCCACACGCAGCGTCCAGGCAGAGCTAACCCCACCACAAGGCCTCTGCACCGGCCCCGTCCGCCACCTCCCGGACCCAGCCGCCCCCAGAGTACGCCCGCGGCCCCAGCGCACCTGCTCCCAGCCGGAGCGGCCCCGCCGCGGCGGCACCGGCGGCCCAGAGCGCGGCCCGGGCGGCGGCTACAGCCATGGGAGCAGCCATGATGGCCCGCCGCGGGGCACGCCGGGAAGGCGAGAGGTGCCCGCTGCCATTGGCGAACAGCTCGGGGACATAGAGAGCGGCAGAGCGGGACCAGAGCGCCGCTGTGTCGCGGGGAATTGTGGGATGGAAACGGCCGAGGAGCCGGCGGAGCCGGGCCGGGGCGGGGACGCGGAAGCGCCCCCTGCCGGCGTCACCGCGTGGCGCAGGTGGCGGCACCGCAGGGTCCCCAGCGCTCCCAATGTCACCAGTGCCCCCCCAGTGTCACCAGTGCCCTTCCAGTGTCACCAGCGCTCCCGGTGTCACCAGTGCCCCCCCAGTGTCACCAGTGCCCTTCCAGTGTCACCAGCGCTCCCGGTGTCACCAGTGCCCCCCCAGTGTCACCAGCGCTCCCGACGTCACCAGTGTCACAAGTGCCCCCCCCCCAGTGCTTCGGGTGTCACCAGTGCCTCCTCAGTGCCCTCAGTGCTCCCTGTTTCCCCAGTGACCCCAGGGCTCTCAGTGCCTCCAGTGCCTCCAATGCTCCTAGAGCTCCCTGTCACACAGCCCAGCGCTCCCAGTACCCCCAGTAATCCCCATCACACAGCCCAGTGAGCCCCAGTTCTACAACACACACACACACACACACACACACACGCACACCAGTTTGTCCCAGTGCTCCTTACAACCCCCTCCAGTCCGTCCCCAGGTTGCCCAGTGCACCTCCAAAACAACCCCTGCATGTGATTATAGCCCCCTGTGCTCCCCAGCGTGACCCAGTGCTCCCAGTTCCCCTCTTCTATACAACCCTGTGCACCCCAGTGCTCCCCATACACTGCACCCCGATGCTCCTCAAGTCTTCCAGCCCTCCCCAACACACTCCAGTGTCCCTCAGTTCTCCCAAGTGCTTCCTGCACCACCCCACAGTGCAGTCCCGTGTCCCCTGCACTGAGGTACCTCTGTGTCCCTCTATGCCTGAATGCACCCGAAATTCCCTGTCACACCCCAGTGCACCCCAGTTGCTCAGTTCCACCAGCCTGGAACCCCCAGGGGATGTGGTGAGGAAGGAGAGACGGAGCCATCGTTCTGGAACTCTCTTTATTGTCCTGTGCCCTTCCCCAGGGCTCCATCACTGTGTCCATCCCATCCCATTTTGTGCCATTCCCATGCCATGCTGTGCCATCCCGTGCCATTCCGTGCCATTCCCATGCCACACTGTGCCATTCCCATGCCATGCTGTGCCATTCCCATGCCATGCTGTGCCATCCCGTGCCATTCCGTGCCATTCCCGTGCCATTCCGTGCCGTGCCGCATGCCCGGCCGTCAGCAGAACCGTTACCATTACTAAACTCAGTAATGGTAACGGTTTCCCCGCCGGCCGTGAGTCCCTGGCTGTGTCCAGATCTCCCCACACCCCGGGATGCCCCATCCCACCACCCTCCCTTCCCCACACACCTCCCCTGCCCGTGTCACACATCCCCGGTGCCCCGGGCCGTGGTCCCGGTGGTCGGTGCTGGCGGGAGGAGGTCGGTGCAGCCTGGGGAGTACATCATCTATACTGTAGTGTCTCATAGCCAACTTACAGTATACGATGATATCCTGCCCGGGACAGCGTGCAGAGGAGAGCAGAGCCTGCAGGGGACAGCGTGGTTAGGGAGCACAGCCCATTCCCACCCCTGTGTCACCCTCACCCATCCCTGTCCCCCTGGTTCTGTTGTCTCCTGAGCCTCCTGGAGGCCTCCCCAGCACCTCCTTACCTGCTCTTTATCCTTCCCAATTCCACCACCCCAGAACAGGATAGAGGTTCTCAGTGGCTTCCCTACACATGTATCCCCCTAATCCCTTCTTGTCACCCCATTCCCACCACCCTGGAGAAGAGCAGAGGTTCCCAATTGCCCCCTCACCCCAACACCCCCCAGCCCATCTTTGCCCCCCAGTCCTGCTGCCCCAGAGTGGGATTGAAGGCTCTCAACTGCCTCCTCACCACAGCATCCCCTTAACCCCTCCTTTTATCCCGTATCCACCATTTCAGAGGAGGACTGAGGTTCCCCAAACCCCACCTTTGTCTCCCCCAGTCCCACCCTCCCTGACAGAACAGCAGCTCCCCAGGTGATGGCACCTACCTGTGGGGCTGGCACTGGGGCTTTGTGGGGTGCTGGATCTGCACCCGCCTTATAAAACCTGCTCTGCCTCATCTGCATATCTCACATCTGCACTGCACAGCTGGACGGGGTCCTTAACCCTTTCATGCCCAGGGGGGCACCGCCCCTCTCAGCTCCCCCCTCCCAGCCTGGCATTGTCCATGGGGGGATGTGGGACTTGCAAGGGGCCACCTGCTGTGTCTTCCACTCCAGGATGGCCCCACAAATGCCCCATCCTCCTGTGGTCATCAGGATTATCCCTTTCCAGAGTTGTGGGAACCCTGAAGTGGGAGTTCTCCATTGCAAACTGGTTCCCAGTTGCTGGACAATGGTGTTGGACAGGGCAGGGGGGCAGCCCGTGGGGATGGGGCCCAGGAGGGACATCTGGGAGTGAGGGGTCCCCCTACACAGGCACCCTCAGGTGAGGTACAGGGTACACGTGGGTGCAGGGAGCCTGTGTCCCCTGGGGTGGGTGACCTCTCTAGTGCTGTGCCCCTGGCCATATTTGCTCCCCTGAGGGACAGGACCCCTAACAGTTTGTCCCCAAAAGAAGGATTTGCCCTCTTGCCTTTAGGATCATCCTGGAAATACATTCCCCCTCCCAGGGGGATGTGACCCTTTAAGGGATGTATCCCCCAGTTAGGTGTCCCCAAAGGATACGCTCCCCTGGCCATGTGTGTCCCCTGGAGGGATGTATCCCCTCATTGCACATGATCCCGGTCATACTTGTCCCCTGACCACGCAGGTCCCCAAATGGCTCCACCCCCTGACCATGAGTGTCACCTGTCCGTGCATGACCCTGGTCATTTGTGTCCCCCAGCCCTGTCTGTCCCAACAGGGCCACATCCTGCAGCCAGAGCTGTGCCATTGTCTCGGGTTGTTTGCGCCAGGACAGGCTGGCATTCCTGGAAATCTGCTGGGGGGAGGTGATAATCCCCTGCGGGACCGGACCGTGTCCCGATAAGCAGCAGCCTCGGGCTATCAGGGACCCTGCCCTGCCACACAAGGAGTCCCTGGACCTACTGTCACCTCTGGGCAACAGGAACAGGGGCAGAATGGCCCACACTCCCCCTGGCCTGGGCACACCCTGGCAGGAGGGGGCACAGGGTCAAGCCCAGGTCTGAGCCTGTGCCAGGGCAGATTGTTGTAGGGACTTGGGGGCTCCAAGGCACCTCTTGTTTTAGTCTCTCTTGTGACCCAGAGGTTCCTGGAGCCTGAAGTGTTCCCCAAACTGCGGCACAGGCACTCCAGCATGCAGAGCAGTGACATAAGCAAAGTGTCCCTGAAACCCCCAAATTCTGCCAGCTCCAGGTGAGTCCCACAGTATTATTCCCACGGGACTATCTCCATGCTGGCCGTGCCTGCCAGCCCTGCTGCCTGCTCAGCTCCTTGTAGCCCACAGTGGTAGAGTGAGTGCCCCCCAGGCTGGTAGCACCCCCAGGTGCCACAGGAGACCCCCGTGTCCCACAGCCATGCCGCCCCAGGGCAGCGTGTCTGGCTCCAGATAAGGAGGCACTGGGAGCTGCAGAGCTGTCCCCACCCTGTCTATCTGCGGGGCCACCCTGCAGGACACATAGGACAGGGCCTGTTGTGCTGCCCTGGGTTTGGGGGGCCATGGAGGGTCTGGAGGGCACAAAGAAACCATTTTCCCCAGGGAGGGCAGTGCAGCAAAGCCCCCCATGCCAGCCAGTGCTGGCTGTCACTTGTCCTGCTTGCAGGGTGACCCCGAGCAGGACAGGTACACCCAGAACCACCCTGCTGTCCCCAAGCACAGGGAAGGGCGTGTGGGGCTGGGACAGGGCTCTGGTGGCAGGGCGGGGGGACATGAGCTGCTGCCACCAGCCGGGCTGCTGTGACACACGACCTTCAGCACCTGTCAGCCCTTCTCCAGACCCCGGGGTGCCACTTTTTGGGGTGTCCCTGCAGAGGTCACCCCTTGGGCCATGCAGTGGAGTTCACCCGCTGTCTCCTGGCTCCACACTCATCCCTGTGGGAGCAGGACAAGGCTCTGTCCCCACGGAGGGCTGGGACACAGTACCCACGGGGATACGGTGACCACGGGGAAGCCACCAGCTCCCAGGAGCTTTGCAGGAGCAGCGTGAACTGGAATCTCACCTCCCCGCACCTCTTGTTCTCCCATCCCAGCAGGAACACTCCCGGGCCAGCAGCCCCCGGCCACCCCAAGCCAGGGCTGGACATGCCCGCAGGGGAGCTGGGGCGGGACAGACGGGCGCGAGGGACGAGCCAGAGCCCAGGCAGGAGGTGACAAGGGTTTATTATCTCTCAGCAGCGGGGTGGTGGCCGCAGGCACATGCAGATAGAGCCCGGCTCGGCCCGGCACGCCTGCCCGGCCAGCGCCAGATCCGCGCCCGCCGCCCACGGGCCAGGACGAGCCCGGGGCTGATAACGCGGCAGGGAGGGCACTGGGGGGGGGGCCCGTAGCACCCACCACCCGCCACGGGTCACTCCTGGCAAGGGACTCTGCTGGGAGGGATCTGCACCCGCCCTATGGCACGGGGTGGGGGCACTGAGCTGTGGGTGCAGGACCCCCAAATGAGACCACTTCCAGCAGTGCCAGGCTGACTTCACACACGGGTCTGGCTGTGCCAGCCACACTGAACACGGGCATTGAGACAGGCAGGGAAAGGGCACGGGCCAATACAAGGCTCTGGTAGCACTGTGGGAGGACGGGCACACACAGGGGACAGTCTTTCACATTGTCACAAGGCAGCAAAGCCACTGGCCGTAAGAGGCAGGGGGAGGGAGGGAGGCAGGGGCAGCTGTACAGGCTGTGCTGGAGGAGCCTGTCCCCACCTCAGTGTCCTGCTGGTCCCCCACCCACCTCTGGCCATTACTCTGCTTGAGTGGTTGTGGGGTCAGGAA